ATCTTGAATGGCCAGGAACATTCATGATTTTTGCATTGAGTTCTCCTAAGTGCAAATGAAGGGCCTGACCCTATGAGATGCTAAGATCTCTCAGTTTCTACTGACATAAAAACGTTTACCATCATTCAGTTTCAAGTTCAGCTGTTTCCAGAGCTCTGAGTGTTTTGTTTTAACTATTCAATTTTATTGCTTCTCTTATGACTGGAAAAAGCTACTTTAGAGCAATCAACTGAAGGACCTCAATTTGTTTAGGTTATGAAGAAAGACTTACAGGCTCTTTGCTTAAAGCACGCAAGTATCTTCATGGAGAACAAATAAGACTGAAGGACTCTTTTAACTAAAGCACTAAAATCATAGCAATAACCAACTGGAAATGACCTCCTGAGAAATTCAAATAGGAACAGGTTGCTATTTCTGAACAGGGCTATTAAGTACTGAAGCTACTCGTGACACTGATGAATGAGTTGAGTTTCCAGTACTGTGGAATGTCTAGAAGACATGCAAGCTCTTGGCTTTAATAAAGGGGTACCAGGTAAAGTCTTGTTGTATTGGGAATCTGAATTAAATAGTGTAATGTGGCTTTTTGCCTTTAATTATTAATCTCTGAGAAGATCTGAAGTATGCTATTTAGGGGTCTCAATTTCTTGTTACTTTTCCTTCCTTCCACCCTTCTCTTCCACTCTGGAGGTGAGGGATAACTGACTGTAGCAATGCAGGAATCTCTTTACAAGCCGGTCTTCTGCTTGACATTTTAAAATAAGTCAAAGATGGAGGTGCTGATTTCTGTCAGGGTTACAGGGTGAACAGATAAAGTTTCAGTAGTAGCTTCAGTGGTCTGATTTTAACATACTATTCAAAGTGTGTCGAGGCCCTTACTGTATTTACTGTCCTTCAGATAAAATCAAGTTCATCTAAGCAAACAAATACCGATAAATACCTCTGTGTGTTTGGGCTACTGAACTGAGCTGTTTGTATCTCTGTAGAGTGAACCAGGCAATTATCTAGGTTCCTAGCGTGAGGTTTGATGTCCATTTGTAGGCTTCTAAATGTAGGTGAATTCCAACCTTGCTGTCTAAAAAGACATCTCTTTTAGGGAGCTCAGGTGACTGAGTTTTGCAGTAATAAACACCATCTCCAGAACATACTTAATCGCCTTCTGACATAATTCTTTCCAGCTCTTTTTATCACATACTCTGAGATGCTTATTGCTGTCCATTGGACTGTAGAAAGAATCAGTGATTAGCTTAATCTAGATGCTGAACAATAGACAGCTAAACTTAATATAAACAAAGTTTATAAAAATGAGACTAAAGAGCTCTTACTGGTCAACTGTAACTTGTGTCTTATGTATACTAACTGGAGTTACAGTCATGTTCATTCTGATATTTTTTGCTTTAAAAAGGGTAAGGTTAGAGCAAAAGCGGAAACTCAGTCATGAAGTAAAAAATAAACCTTGAAAATGAGGAGTTCTGTTGCTCACGGTCTTTGTCCTTATATGAATTTTGCTGCTTGTGGTTTATGTGGTTATTTGTATTTCTGCAAAGCAAGTAACCAGTGTTCTTGGATGGCTCACATGGGTATGGATGGTACCTGCAAGGGTAAGTGACACAACTTAAATTACAGAACTAACAGCAGAAAGTATTACTATTACTATCACATTAATTCAATACCTTCTAGATTTGGGAGCAGAGGAATTTAGGGAATGGATGAAATTGGTGATCTCTTTTTTTATAATCTTCCATTCTTAAGGCTGTGGGACTGGAACTGTTCATCAGAGGGCTTCATTTTCCAATGGAGAATGGAGTGCAAAGTGGTGCTGAGGCCTTTTTCTGCTCTCCTGCCTGATACAACCTCTTTCTCTCCTCTGCAGGGGAGAAGTCCTATTGCACTGGACTGCTCTGCCCTGTTCCTTTGCTGGAGCGGAGCGTTTTTGGCTGGGGAATAGGGAGGGTACAGCACAGGACACAGGGGAGCAGGCCAGCACAGCAATGTCCCGGGTCACAATGCGAGTGCCTCAGTTTTGATCTTGTTTGTTATCACGTAAATTTTGAATTTTGGCACGAGAATGATTTCTGCCTTTCATGAAGATGAAATGTAAGGGTTGTAACCCAGTGGTGGGTTGATATAATGTGATTTGAAATGCACCTGATTTTCACCTGGATAAATTCTTAAATCTGGTCAAATTTACTCTGGGGCTTTATCACTCTGTCACAAGAGTGAAGTCTGGGTCTTGGAGCTGAATGGTACTTTTCTTTGCCCTTCAAGGGGGACAGAGGAAAGGAGAACGTAGGTGACTCACATTTCAGACTAATGAAATCCAGATCAACTGTATTTATTTATTTTTTAAATAACATTCATACATTACGCTCTTATTCCTTATTTCACCTGTGATATTTTATACCCTCCAGCAGGTGCTGCTGCATCCTGCTAATGTCTTCCTTGTGGAGTCAAAAAAAAAAAAAAATCAGTCATTTGATTTAATACTATGCAACTGGACTTTACTCTTTGTTCTGCATCATGAATGTGTCTGTGTTCTCTTTTCTTCCTCAAGTTATTTCCTAGCAGAGTGACTAAGGAGGGAATTTTTATGATCCCAGCATATTTAATCCTGCAAGCACTCTTTGTAAGAAGGGGTTGAAGATCAGTAGGAGTTGCTTATCAAGGCCATGCTCAGAGCGAGGTGAACAGACGCAGGTAGCAATACATTTCTATTTCTACAAAATGTGAAGAAATGCAAGTGTTTTTTTAAGTTAAAAATAAAAAAAAATTAAGGTTATAAAAGTTGGCTCATTTCTTAAGTAATTTGAGCTTATGATTTTAAATCAGTCTTATCATTAGCCTAATGTTTGCTATAGATATAAGTAATTGATATATTAAGTATACATAATAATAGTTAATGCTTACTCAGTGCTTTCTTTTCCTAGATGCCAGGGCAGCTCACAAGACTTTTTACAGTTTTGGCCCTAGTTTATAGATGAGAGGATGAAGTTGAGAAGTGTGAAGCAAGTGGTTCAAGGTCCTCAAGTGAACCAGTGGCAAACAAGCCAAGGTCTTGAGTGTTTGCAATACAGATACACAGCACATGTTTCAGAATCTCTTATTTAGACTTTCCACGTGAAGAATTGTAGCTGAGTTACGCACAGAAAATTTTAAGAGGAGTTGTGCTTCGATCTGTTTGCTGATGGATCACTTGTGCCAGGCAGGAATATGTGGGTAGTAGTAGTTGAAATTGGGCCTCGATAGGGGTTGCATATCCTTGAAGTCCTTGAGTTGCATCAGGCCAGAAGTGCACTCAATGAGCTAAGAGATCTCATTGATCTCTGACACCTACCTGCATCTTTGTACTGTATTGCTAGTTCCACGTAGGGAATTTAAATTCTGCTGTAGTGTTTTTCCTCACTGTTAGTGATTAAACTTGGTTGTGACTATGATTTTGGCACTTTCAGGGTTATCTAGGAGCTTTAGAAGGTGAATCCAAGTTTAATAAGCTGAAGCATTGGTTTGCTTTTGATATTTAACTTTATTAGTAGTCTAAAATGTTCAATATAAGAATAATGACAGTAAACTACAGTCATAAATCGCAGGCAGGCAGCACCTGCTACACTGCCGTGTGAAACAGCGTGTTCCCCTGGTCATTCACTTTGGAGATGGCTGGAATTCTAGTCTTTCTCTCTAACCTCTCTTCTGCGTTTCTTTTAGAAATCCAACCTGGCTGTGGCAGTTACCTCTCAGGAAGTTACAAGGATGGGTCAGGTGGAAAAGACCTTTATTTTTCCCTTTGACTCAAAACCAAAAGGTTAAATATAATTAGATTCTAAGAATTCTTGTAATAATCTGTATAATCCAGATGCAGTAAACGTATAGATAAAAAGTCTTTAGTCAATAAGGTCTGAAGTTCTTGTAACTTTGTTAAATTCAGATTTGGATCTTTAATGAGTTTCAACTCCGTGGATTTCAGGTGCTCTGGAATGCGTATCTGTCTTTAAGAAGGCAGTTCATTTTATGCTAAAGCTGGAAGTATTCATCCGCTTTAGATGCTGTGGAGTTTTGTGTGTCTCTCCATTCTTTAGAGAAAAGGGACTGTAGACACAGGGTGGCTAACTAGATTCCTAAAGTCGTGGCATTAACCCAACTTTGGCAACTTGGATCTGTCTTACAACGTGGAGATATAGAACCTAAATGTGATTATAAGTTCTTGATATATTAAGTATACGTAATACTAGTTAACGCTTACTCAGTGCTTTCACTTCCTAGATGCCAGGGAAGCTCACCAGACTTTTTACAGTTTTGGCCCTAGTTTATAGATGAGAGGATGAAGTCGTGAAGTAAATGGTTCAAAGTCCTCAAGTGAACCAGTGGCAAAACTGGAAAGCATTCAAACTGGATGCCTTTTTCTTGTGGATATACCACTTTATAATGTTTTTTATTTGTATTTTTTTATAAATGATCATCATTGGTTGATGATGTTGTAAGTAACCGCTGAAACATTGCAGATGATTGCTTGTATTGTTGAGGCAGTTTTGCCTTGCTTTTCCTTGAAGCTAGGCTTTTGTGTGTTGAAAATATGGGCAAATGGTGAAGTCTGCATTTCTGCTTCTTTACACAAAATGTACCTAAGACTTCCAGTAAAACTGGTTTTGACTTGTTTTTAACCATAGCTTTCTAGTATTGATAGGTGCTTCAGCTGTTTTTCACTGTACTTGGCCAGGCTATATCTGGAAGAACAAGTGATTACAGCTCCTGAGATATAGTTACCAGCAGTCAGATTGACTAAGGGGTTAAAAGTGAGACAGCCCTATCTTTTACTTCAGTGGAAGTGTAGTTGTTGATTTAAAGCTCTCAGTAAATGATTGTTGGAGATCTGTCATGTGTAGCAGAGCATTCAGAAAGCACACCACAGGCTCTGCTTCCTCCTAAAGAGCGTTTGTCTGTCAACATCTCACTTTAATTGTAGTCTTTGAAGGTACCAGAAGGCAGGCAAAACTCACCAGCCAGCAGTCATGGAAGATAAAGTCTTTACCAATGTTTATCAAAATGTTAATGACACCAGTATCTGTGAAATTCCAGACTCCGAGGAAGACAAAGGGGGTAATCATTATGATCATGCCCATGAAGATCCAGCATCTCCTTCTTCCATCACTACTCTCCCAGAGAGCATGGATAGTAGTGAAGAGAGCTCAGAAGATAGCTGTAGTGATTCTGTGGCCTCTCAGCATGGGGCTGATGGGGAGGATGGTTCTTCTTCATCTCACCACGATGCTGAAGAAGACCACCCATACCAGGAGATGAATCTGATGAGCCCAACTCTGGAAGATAAACATGTAGAGGGCATGATGTTTGAGAGCAACGTGCATTTTCCTCCAGATTTCCAGTTGCATCGGAGCCAGAGCACTTCTTCCAACTCTTCAACTTCCCTCAAGTTCCCCCTTAACAACAACTTTGGAGAAACTGACAACTTTCAGGAAGATTATGAGATTTTCATGTTTGTAAAGGTAAGAGCTTGGGTGCTTCTAACAATACACTAGTTTTAAACCTCAAATCAATGTATATGTCCTCCAGATCTGTAAAATACAGCTGCCCACTGCTTTGTTCCCGACATTGCTGCCTGTGTACTGCAGGGCACCGATCCATTCACCTATCTCTTACATCTTAAGGCACAGAAAGAGAAGATTTGTGATATGTGGAGATGCTTGAGATTTCTTTACTTCAAGTGGAAGTATGAGTATGGTGAAAGTATTCTGATTGTTGCTGCAATTCATTTAATCTGTGAAATCTCCCTGCTGTTACAGCTAGACTACTACTACTTGAACTGGTTTAGTTAAGATAGTTCAGCTATCTCTGCGTTTCACTCTCCCTCTAGTAGCTAATAGCTCAAAAGTGATAGTTATTAATGCTATGAAGAAAACTAAATACATAATTTAAATAATGGCAATAAAATTTCCACAAATGCTCATTCCTGAAAGAGGCCTTTCTTTTATTTCTTCCAATACTTAGATTAATGTGTTTCCGTGACAATTTTAACATGTATTTTTCATTTATTTCAAGTTAGATATAAATTACTGAGGGGACTTCCACACTTTCTCTAACCTTGTAAAGTATTACTTAAATTCCTAAACCGTAAACACCTGTATTCTTAAATAAACACTATGCTTCCCTTCATAAAGGCTCTTGTATTCAGCCGTTCTCAGTATTTATTAGGCCGTAGCACAGACTTGACAGTTCCTCCTTTTTAACTACATAAGAGATACATTGTCAAGTTCTTACTTCCTTTGAATAGGACCATACACCATGGGTGTAATACTCCGTTATTTCAACAGAAGTCTTGTGAAGTTTTTCACTTTTCAACATAAATAAGATTATCAGAATCTCTTCCTCAGTTCTGCAGGTGCTTTGGAAGCAGGATATGAGAGTTTGTGCCCACACTTAGTGAGAAGTGTTTTCAGCAATTTGGTTAATTTAGTTTATTTAAGCAAGAACACACTATAACCTTTGCATTGGTGTGAAATGCTGATTATCTTGTATAAGCCTGAGGAGATCAAATGGCTTGGTGAACGCTCCTAATGCTTCATTTCATTTCTGTTGTAAATCTTGGATTTCTTGGAAAACAGAGTTAGTTAAAAAGTTATCTTACATTTGCTTGTAGGATAAAGGAGAGCGCTTCCATAAAGTGTTAACAGAATCTTGAGATTCTTTTGAATGCATTCAGAAAGTTATTTAAATATTTTTCCTTTGTGTCATGTCTTCCTGTAGATGAAAAGTTGATGTTATTCCCCTTTCATGTCTGTCTCCTCTATGTGACAATCCTTTGTGATTACTTTTGTAATTTTTGCATAAAGGTAGATCATTTAAATTATTGATAAATTTAAAAACCAAACCAACCAACCAAACAGAAATGGCTACCGGGTTACTTAGTCTGATGCTGCATAAGAATAACTATAAAACTTCAGCCATTTCTCTTGAATTTCAATGTAACTGGAGCTACTCTTGTGAAAAGATGTGTATCCTTCAGGAGAGGGAATATCTACTAATTGCTAGGTCGTGAATTGTTCTGGGTCCATGCATACTGTTACAAGGGGGTTTTGCTACTGATTTCTGTAGAAGTGGGCTGTGAGAGCCATGTGTGAGGGTACTTGCCCTTTTTATTATCTTCAGAGTACTTACCCTGTACGACTCTCTGAAGTGGCAGCTGTCCTATTTCTGTGACTGGATCACGGTCGTTGCTGAAAATATGTTAATTATATGGATAAAGTAAGATCTGTGGTGTTGGTTGTAGTTCGTATCTCTGCTTGTAGTCCCGCATACATGTTTTAAAAGTCGCAGCAATTGAGTATGTTTTGTTTGTTAGCAACTGCATGGCATTAGCAACATGAGTGTTGTATTTTGGCTTTAAAATAATCTCTCTCTATTCCTTATCCTTTCCTGTTCCTCTTGTTTCAAAATAATGGTGTCCTCTCTTTCTATGCATGAAAAGAGAAAACGCATACAGATGCTTCCATTCAAGCAGAGATGATGGGGTTAATTTGAGTTTCTGAAAAGTGGTAAGAGGGGCATTTTAAAAAGAACTGGCATGGAGAAGGACTGAGGAAGTCCTTTTCCTCACTTTTGTTGTGTAGAGTACTGAGTATCCCATAAAAGGGCTTATCGGCTAGTCTAGAGAGAAGCACAAACTTTGGACTCTATTCACTTGCTGAAACAAAAGTGCCCTCGTGCCTTTTAGATGTCCTTGAGCCCCAAGACATCCCTGCCTGGCTGGAAGGTGAGACGTGAGGCTTTCAGGTGATCCATGCTGTGATCCTTCTCCAGCAGGGGCTGGAGGCCTGATGGGCAGGGCAGGGGATGCTTCTGTGCAGGTTGCTGAACTGAACTCCTATGACAGTGTTTTATTCCTTCAGAAAATGATGACATTTCAGTTTTGGAGTTTTGCTTTTCTTTCTGGTATCAAGGTAATAAAGCGCTAACTCCATGGAGTGCAGATCCAGCTTCGCTATCTTTTAATTATCTAGATAGCAAAAGTCCACCTATAAAATGGAAGGTCATAGAGTAATAGATAACAAGAATTGTGAAATACCTGAGGGCTATTGCTTCTTGCACATAAGAACGAAATCTCACAGTTGTGCCAATGGCTGCTGTTCGTAGACTGTTCCCTTCTCATATGGCCTCTGGTTCACCTGAGGCCAGTGTTGCTCTGGAATTGGGTTCACTTTCTGGATTTGCTCCTTTCTGCAAAAATTAACAGTGACAGCAGGGCCTTTTGCTGTGGGACGATGGTGGTAATGATAATTCTGTGACTGTTTATTCCTTCCTTTGTTTGTGGCAGTAATAAATCTCTGTGAGTGGCTGGAAGCGGGAGTGTCAGACAGAGGTCGCTGCTGGCTGAAAACCAGAGAAAGTGGGAAGATTAAATGGTATCTAACTTATAGTCTAGCTGGCTTAGTTGCAGTGCACTGCCTAAAACAGAAATTTAACTTATTCAGAATATTGTAAGTGCTGTTGCATTAGGACCATAGTTTCAGTCAGACTGAATAATCCTTTTTGTAGTCCGTTCTCTGTTATTAGACACCAAGAAAATGTTTTAAGTCACATTAACTCATCTTTCACTGGTTATCAGTACTTGGTAACCACGTCATTGTCGGTAGCCTATTTCAGAATGTGCCATAAGGTAAAAAGTTTTGGCTTTCCTGAAGGAATTCCCTGTACCTTTAGTAGCAGAATATAGCATGTACCAACATGGGGATATTTGTGTGAATCCAGCATGTCCAGGCTTGTCACAGCCACCTTAGTACATAGTAATTTCACATAGTAATTTCTTCAAACAAAAGCCTTTGAAATTTAAACAGCAATATGACTGACATACAGGCTGTGTTACTGAGCGCATAGGACAGCTTAACCTAATTGTAACTGTTGCTCAGAGGTCCAACCTTTGCACTTCTATGCTATGTTTCCCTGTTTAGCAGTGTGTTTGTTCTGAAGGTTGAGTTTCTTTGAAAATTTTAACTTTTTGTTTTCCTGAAACTTGAGTTGTTATTTAAAGAATAGTCCCTCTATTTTCTTGTCAGAACAAAATTATTGCCCTTCTGGTTTACTGACAACCTGAGGCTAGCTACAGATTATACCTTCTCTGTACACGTTTGTGCCATAGGAGCACAGTTCCCAAAAGAAGGAAGGTAATGCTTTACCCTGAGCAATAAACACCTTGTGTTATGCAAACAATACCACTTTAATACAGTGGTTTAGCACCGTGAGCATGCATGTTGGATCACTGCACTGGGGTAACAGTGTCATGGATGCTGGAAGGCACTTCTGGAGATCATCTAATCCAACCCCTTACTCAGCAGGATTACCTAGAGCAGGTTGTTCAGGGCCATGTCCAGCCAGGTTTTTAGTATTTTCAAAGAAGAAGAATCCACAACTTCTCTGTGTAACTATTCCCGTGCCCTACTCTTATGGTAAAAATGTGTGTTCCTATGTTTAAATGGAATTTTGTGTATCTCAATTTGTGCCCATTGCCTCCTGTCCTTTCACTGGGTATCAGTGCTTATATTTAAGAATATAGTTTTAAGAAAGATACTGCTTTTAACTTCTTTGTACATCAGAACATAAACTTTTAGCAGTTTCTGTTGGGATTATTGCATCCTTTAGTAAAATTTCTTTAAGTCAGTAGCTGGGAAAGAAAGGGCATTTCTGTTTTTTCCCCCAAGATGCTTCCCACTCCCTTGTTTCCAAGTCAGGAAGGTCTGAGGGCTCTAACTTGATGGCACAGCCCTGTGCCAGCTCACAATGTTGAGCTGAACTCTTATGAATGACAGACCATGTTCTTGACAGGGACAGTAAGATTAATCACTTGTATCACAGCAAAAATCATGCTTTTTCCTATTGAGTTGGCTTTTCTGTTGTTTAGTGGAGCATATTGGTATCTGTTGAGAAAGTTTTGTTTAAAAATGTATATTAATAGTTTAGAACATGAAGTTACAGGACATAACTAATTTTTAGCATGTATTATTTGAAAAGAGCAGAACCAAATCATAATGTAACCACGTGGATGCCCAGTCTTAAGTTGGTGGTTATGCTGGCGCTTTGCTGAGCGGAACTGAACATCTTGTAGAAGCAGATGCAAAGTAAAAGGGTACCCAGCACAGATGAACATTTGTAGTTTTCAGTAGGAAGTCCTGCAGGGGGTTTCAAATAAAGGGATGGATATCGACATTAGTGAGAACATCAGTTTTTCAAATTTTCAGCCACTTATTTCTTTACTACAGTCATAGTCTACAGAGTAAAACAACTGTACTTGCAATTTTGGCGTAGTAGATATTTGCAAGTGTAATTGGGTGTCCAAATACCTTTTAGCCACGCAAGCCGAGTAGTCTTCTAATTGACTCCAATATAGCACATAAGGCTGGTGTTAAACCATATCTTCTCCAGTGAGGTTTGCGGGTAGTAAAATGAGTTCTGGCTGAAGCCAAGTAGCAGGTGTAACTCTCTAGATGTACATAAA